TGTTGACGCAAGTCCACATCAGTGACTGGTTGCGTGAGATGCTCGTAGTATCGGTTCAGACAGAGGTAATTTGAGCAGGTGTTTAATTCCCTTCTTTTGTCGAGATAGTAATCTCGTGCTTCTTCGAAGTTGAAGATGTGAGCGAAGGCCACGTAAGCTAGGCGAGTATCCGCCACTGTTTCTGATTCGTCTGAGAGGACTGTGAACAGGTTTATAGCAAGTGGAAAGAGAGTTCTTGGAATAATTGTACTAGTTCTATCTCGACGAGATGGTCGAGCGCGTAATCTAGTATATACGGGTCGAGGATTCGTTCCTCGTCGTAGTCTATGTATTCAAAAACTATATACTCGTCCAGCTTGTCTAATCGAAGGGGCCGTTGACCCAAACTGCACGAAGTGATTTAAAAACTTGGACTCGGTTACGCCGTAGTCCTTTGAACGAGATCCCTCCGATCTGCTTCAATCCTGAGTCCCAGCGGTTCCACTCCTCAATGCTAATGACACGAGATACGTCCTTGAGGGTGCGATCGAGGTGGGCGAGGCGGTCGCGGAGTTTGAAGGCAGCGCTGATGTTGTCAGTTAGAACGTCGGGACAGTCGAGCGTTTCGAGGACGTTGAAGCGCTTGAGGGTGGCCGCAAATTTCGGCGCGAAGATGCGAGCGAGGTCGGCGGCTGAGTAGCAGGAGAAGTTGATGGTGATGGGCTTCGGGGCGATGGGTGTGTAGGTAGGGGCAGCGGCAAGGCGATCCGCCAGAGGTCGGCTGGAAGAGGCGCTGGCGTGCGCGTTTCGCCTAGCGTTAGCTTGATTGCGTTGCGCTTGGAAGTGCTGGCGATCGTCGTGCGCTGCGAGTTTGGCTTGCTCGACGGCGTCCCAGTCGATAGTCGGGAGCGCGGTGGAAGGTGGCGGGAGTGTGGAGACGTGCCTGACGACGGCTCTGAGTTCGGTGGTGGTGTACTGATGTGGGGCGCCTGCTTCGCGTTCTCGACTGAGTTGGTCGAATACGGCTTCGGGCAGCGCGCGTTGGAGGCGTGGGTGACGCTCGTCCGCGAGGCGTTTGAAAGCGCGGGGGCGGTCGGGCAAATCCTTTGGCACTGGTTTTATGCAGGGATTAGCGCTACGCGCGTACGTCTGCCACCAATCGCCGAAGAGACTTACTCTTCAAACGGTAGGAATAAACTTTTTTAAAACTGTGCACGGGGCACTGGATGGGGGGGTAGTAGTCCGGGTGCACGAAGATCTCAACCTAATGATGTGGACTTGCGTCAACACACCACGAGGGATACTCGGTGGATCTAATCAAAAGGCGGCGCCGACGAGGTCTGGTGACTGTGCGTTAGCTTGTTCAGCTAGCCCAAATAACCAAGTTGTATTAGTGACTGTGTTACGATACAAACAAAGGCTTATCTAGCCCAAATAACCAAGAGGTTGAGATGGGGCTAGGTAGCGACAAAGGGGTCCCTTTTATACTACTCAGGCTGCGCACGGACCAGGCGTTACATAAGCGACTGTGCTACGGCGGCTGCTGGCATTTTTAGGGGACTTTGGTGGAGAAGCGAGGGCCGGTGTGTCATACCTGATGACGTTGTCGGGCCGACGGGGATAGGATGTCCGTTGCCGATCAGACTCAGAGATAGACGGAGGCTGGTGTGTCATGGCGTATGACGTTGTTGGGCCAACGGGAATCAGATGTCCGTTGGAGATCGGAGTGCGGCTGTTACTGAGGAAGCGTGATGCTGCGGTGAGGCGGCGGCGATACAGGCGCGTCTGATGCGCTGATGCGTGCCCGTCGGTGATGCGTTCTCAAGGTGTTAGCGCGCGGCTAGGACTTGTAAACTGGCGCCAATGCGCCAACGACATTTGGAGGGTCGTATAAACGTGGAATAAATCGGAGAAAATGGAAATAAAATAGGAGGCCGGGGCTACGCCCACAACAAGCACCACCTCTCTTTCGTATCTCATCAGCAACCATTGAACAGGACAACGAAATAACCAGAGATTACGTAGCCGCATGGATACCTGACTCTGGTAAAATTCACACCATTCCGGTCACAACTATGGTTGCACAAGCAATACTAGGGCTCTCCATTCAAATGAAGATCGACCCGGCAATGACATTCGCACAAGAAGCTGAAGTGCAGAGACCGGAGACGACAATCCCTGATTATCTCGGATCTTACTTGTTGGTATTTGAGAAGAAAGCTGCAGAAAGGTTTCCCAAAGAAAGGTCTTACGACCATGCCATCGATCTCAAACCGGAATTTGCCCCTAAGGATTGCAAGGTCTACCCGCTATCCCCGTTAGAAGAATCAAAGATGAACAACTTCATTGATGAAAACCTACAGAAAGGATACATCCATCTGTCCAAATCGCCTATGGCCTCTCTCCTCTTCTTCGTTAGAAAGAAAGACGGAGACCTATGCCCTTGTCAAAACTACCACTATCTTAATGAAGGAACCATCAAGAACTCCTATCCTTTACCACTGATATCCGACCTCGTCGATCGAATTAAAGGTTGGAAATGCTTCACCAAGATGGATCTCTGGTCAAGATACAACAACATCAGAATAAAAGAAGGAGACCAATGGAAAGCGGCATTGAAGACGAGTCAAGGACTCTTCGAACCCACAGTCATGTTCTTCAGACTGTGCAACTCTCCGGCAACCTTCCAAGCCATGATCACTGAAGGATGGATCCAGATCTACATGGACGACATTCTGATAGGCAGAACGGACTCAGCAGATATCCAGCGCAAAACAATCCGAGTCGTCCAACGACTCCAAAAGAATGACTTATACCTCAAACCGGAGAAATGTGTCTTTGACGTCAAGAAAGTAGAATTCCTAGGCATGATCATTTTGCACAACAAGATCGAAATGGACCTGGTAAAAGTCAACGGAGTGCTACATTGGCTGACTCCCATCATGGTCAAACAAGTACGATGATTCCTAGGCTTTGGAAATTTCTACAGAAGGTTCATAGATCACTACTCCGACATTGTATGACCATTGGTAGATCTTACCAAGAAAGAAGCGCCATTTATCTGGACCCCGGCATGTCAGAAAGCTTTCGACGAGTTCAAGCAGTGATTCACCACGGCCCCTGTCCTACTAATGCCAGACCAAACCAAGTCGTTTGTTCTGGAATGTGACGCATCGCTAGTTGTGACTGCAGCAGTACTCCGCCAACAAGACATTAATGGCAACTGGCACCCAATCGCCTATCTCTCCCAATCCCTTCTACCAGCCGAACAAAACTACGAGATCTATGACCGCGAACTTCTTGCCATTGTCAGGGCATTGGAAACATGGTGACATTATCTCCTTGGAACACAATTTTCACTCTGGATACTGACCGATCACAAGAACTTGACATACTTCCGCGCAGTCCGACGGCTCAACCAGAGACAAGCAAGATGGCAGTTGTTTCTCTCCCAGTTCGACTTCACACTTCATCATTGCCCGGGTTCGCAACTCGTACAAGCAGACGCTCTCACCCGAAATTCCGGACCCTCACACTCAGCAGATGGCAACGTTGATCGAATCCTCCTACCAGACACACTTTTTGTGGAAACGAACATTCGCTCGCTGCACATCACTCAATCTCTACTGACGCAATTGGATGACCCACAACACTTCACTACGGCAAATACCGACAATGTGTTACTAGATCGCATCAGAAGGACAGGACGAACAGATGACTATGCAAACTCCATCCGTACGGCAATGCAAAATAACGCGATTCTATTTCCCGCACGAACCATGGATGATTGGACGGAAAATAATGGTGTCCTATACTACCAATCCCGGTGCTATGTACCATCTGACCTTGCACTTCGCTAAGAAGTTACAATGCTCTACCATGATACTCTGGTATCTGGACACTTCGGACAGTTCAAAACAGCGGAATTACTGACATGCAACTTCTTCTGGCCAGGGATACGTTTGTTTGTGTCCAGTTGCGTCCAAGGATGTGCGGCATGCCAGCAAATGAAGGTCAACACACATCCAACCACTCCACCACTGCAACCGATATGGGCAACCCACCGGTCCAGGCCTTTTGCATTTATCACTTGCGACTTCATCACTGCACTACCACTCTCACATAGCTTTATATCCTTGATGGTCATGGTCAACCACGATTCTACGAAGGGGGTAATTATAATTCCCTGCACGGAAAGGACGGATGTGATAATGATGGCAACATTCTATCACAACTACATTATCTGAAGATTTGGAATGCCAGACAAGTTCCTTTCTGACCAAGGACCCCAATTTGACTCCCTCGTCTTGAAAGAACTATGGAAGCTAACTGGCGTAGAAGAATGAATGAGCACAGCGTATCATCCACAGACTGATGGGGAAACTGAACGCATGAATAGGGAAATTGAGGCATATTTCCGGATATTCTGTTCTATCCATCCCCACGACTAGGCCGACTACATTCCCAATCTTGAATTCACATTAAACAATCGAGAACATTCTGTGACGAAGCACTCTCCATTCTTTCTCATGTTCGGCTCACACCCTAAGGCACTCCCAATGAACTTCACACGATCAAAGGTTCTGTCAATTCAAGAGTGGCTTTGAATAAGGCAGAAAGCCCACAAAGAAGCAGGAGCAGCCTTAGACTATGCCACGGCTCAAATGGCAGGAAGACTACACCGGAAATTCACCCCATTCACCAAAGAACAGAAGGTATGGCTGGAGATGACTCACTACGAAGACAGCTACCCCTTCAAGAAGATGGCACCCAAGAGGCATGGACCATTTAGGGTGCAGAAGGTTCTTTTGAACCTAGTATACAAACTAGCCCTTCCAGGCACTATGAAGATCCATCCTGTGGTATATGCCTCGCTGCTCACGCCATACCACGAGACACCACAGCATGGGAAGAACTTCCTAGAACCACTACTGGAGATCGTCGACGGACACAATAAATACAAGATAGAAGCAATTCTCACACACCGGCCCTGGTACGGACATCGCCAGTATTTAGTCAAGTGGAATCCACGGCCAAGAATTCATGGGAACCAGAAGGCAACCTGAAAAACGCAGTGGAAATCCTGAAGAGGTATAAAGAGGTCAAAGGAATTGTCCCAACCACTCAGCAACCAACTCCCAAGTTGACTACTACAACATGGCCCCTTACTCATTCTGCTACCACAACGGCAGTTCCGAGGCCACCCTCAGAGAAACCACACCTCCTGCATTCTCGACTTCCTTCTCTCTGGTTCAAGAGGAAACTTTGGTTGACTGTGACAGCCCCGAGCCCAGACTTACCACCAACAATGTTCAACAAGGGATTGCCACAGCCCTCGAAGAAATTGCCGGAGAAATCCGACAACACATTGAGGAGAATGCCGAACCCATACAAATCCCTCCGGGATTCGAGTTCGAAACCCGTGTCTGCATCACTGCTAGAAACATCAATCCCCTAGATGACAGAAGTGACCCCAACGATGCTCCCGCACACCTTGCCTACCTCAGCGATATTGTCAACAACTCCCAATGTTGTAGAGGGTGGATCAACAAGGTCGACAACATCGCCCACGACTGAACCACGCTTCGGGCCTTACTTGATGCGACCGACGACACGACTTCCGGCGCGCTATTTGCAGGAATTGTGGAGAAAGGACGGGAAGTTCAGGCAGGATTTGACGAGGTGGCGAGGGACAAGCGAGCTATCAGAGAGGCAGTTGAGGCAATTCAACGACACGCGGTCGACCTCTCTCGGTGAGTTGAGAAGCTTAATCGTACCTTCGATGACTTCCGCGTAACAACACTCGCTTACACAGCAACTGACCAAAATGCTACAGAAGCTGTCCACCGCGTTTGGACACAGGAATTTGGTAACCTCAATGTCGACCACCTCGAACCTGGAGAACTTCTCGTCGGACCATGCGCTAGTCAATGGGTTCGTAACCCTCACAAACCTCTTCAACCTGCTTATCGCACTCACGCTCCTCGCACCTCCGGCTCCTCATCCTCGCATGAACACTTGCAATCCTTTTGAGCACAAACCTCTCACTCAGGCTCTCCCAACCGATCGCGCTTTACTTCTCGACAGGCTGCCAAAGAGTTCTTTATGCCCCTGGAATCTACCTCCACAGTGCCTCGATGAGCGACTCCATACCTGCAATGTCGCCGCTCTGGTAGCCCAATTACTCGTGGAGTCATCAATAGCACTTTCCCTGGAAACTCCGAGTCTAACTCTGTTGACCTCAATTGAAATACTCCTACAAGATTTATTTGCAGAGCTCATTGGCTAGAAGAGGAGCTAATGTTATGATCGGTCCGTAGTCTCACTATATGTTTTTTCCTTTCCATTTCCGAACCTCTGTTCCATTTCCGAAACCTCTGTTCCATTTCCAAAACTTCCTCTCTATTTCTGAACCCTTCCATTTCCGGTACACTCTCGTATATACGTTGTCCCTTCTACGCCGATCCGCAGTAGTTAGGTTAGTATAAATACCCTCTGGAAATGTAGTGTACTGTAGCTTCGGCCTCCTGTATTATCAGTCCTTTTCTATATCATTCCTGGACTTCGCCTAAGTCCATGTTCTACACATTCCAACTCTTACAAAGAATAATGCATTATCATGGATTGGTGGGTTAAATAAGCAATGTCATTCCATTTCTGGCCACTGCTCCGGCTAGCCATTGAAGTTATCACCTTTATGGCCTCGGTTCTAGTGCTCCACGGCATGCCGATGTGGCTTGGGCTTGAAGCCAGGATTGCAGCTATTCTCACAGCACGGCATCACAACATACCTAATTAGGTCTAATCTCATGGTCTTCAGGGAGCCTATATATCTCGTTTTCACACTTTGCTACACTTGCATATACTTTACACTCAAGAAAGTATATAATTTTATAGTCAGATCATACAAGAAATCATGCCAAATGCATAGTTATACCACAAAACATATCACTTGATGAGCATGAATCAACCACCATTACCTGCAGCAGGTACACTTGGCCTTCTGGTGTTCATCATCATTCTGGAACTCCTGGGAACGCTTCTCACTATACGAGAAGGTCAACAGACACTTGAAGACAAAATGCGGCATGGCTTATCCCCGTGTCCGCCTGGCAGCCAAGACCTGCCCCATCACCCATTGTACATTATGCACGGCCGCACACCACTTCTCATCATTGTTTTTACATTGTGTAGGCCCAGAAGGCTTCTAAGAACGTTAAGAAAGCTGTTTGTACTGGAAACAAACATCTCACTCCAATCACTGTGGCCACTGATAGCCAGGAGCTCGCCTGCATCAGCACGCCAGCTGGGGTTAATGCACTTCCACCAAATGTACCACTGAGTGGCGAACGTCGAGGATTTCTTGAGAACGATGCGCCCTTGGTGTGCATTCTTGACCCAGAGGGAGATGTTGGAAGGGCGGTCATCTGAGGAAAATCCAATCCACTGCACTGTATATCAGTATGATAGCAACCCAATACATTGAGATGACTATGTACCAGGTTTACGAAACCCATCTCATGCTCAAACGCGACCCAATTGCACAGTAGAGCTGACCAGTCAGCCTCGATGTCCTTGGGCACAGGCTCCCAGGACAAACGCCCCCAGTGGTCAGCCAACCATCCGGGTATATCTGCCAGGTCAGCAACTGACAACTTGCCTTCAGATCTGGACTCAGAAGTTGCTGGTGACACGCTGCGAGCTTCACAAGCATCATTCAAGGCTGGTATGGCAGCCTGATCCTCAAGATAACTTCCGGAAGGTGCGAGTACATCAGAGCTTAATGCTGTAGTGTTCTTCATTGTCTGCTAATAGGATAAGATGGTATCAGTTTTGGTGAGCATTGGGGCTTGGAAAGAAAGCATGGCAGGTGAGGATACTGCCATACCACCGGCAGGGAATGGTTCGGTGAACAACGGCCAGTCGATAGGAGCATCGGGGTCGGCAGGAAGAAGTGGGATGGTGTGGAGATCCGAAGTAAAAAGGTATGTTTCCAATGAGAAGCAGATTCTGCCGTAGCAGGATGCCAGAAATCGGTCGCTGCAGGTGAAGGGACGAACAATTCCGAGTCGGACACCAGCACCAGGTTTGGCTTGGGATGATCACATGAGAAGTCAACTGTCTCAGTCATAGCAAGCACATCATCCTTTGCGCCTGTGTCATCACCTGATATCTCGACCCTCATGTTCCCCCATCCATCGACAGACTCTCAGGGCTCGGCTCGCTCATTGTAGCCATTCCCCCCTCTCGCTCTACTAGTACCGCCCACGTGATATCTACGCTTGCAGCATTCACGGTAGGTGTTGCCTTCGAAGACTTCATCTTACGCTTCCTTGCCTTGTGACTTGTCCTCTGAACAGCAATCATGTCTTCAAGTAGAGGTGCATCAGGTGACTCTTGAGGTAAGCTGGGGCCACTCTCCGTTGGGCTCACATTGGCGACTGGCTCTGTGATGGGCCTCGACGCAGGTGCTGATGACGGATCTGCGATTTCTTCACCGGTTGCAAGGGTACACTTGGTTCTTTTAGTTTTGTTCTTCTTGTTTTCAGCAGTAGCCATCTCCTGTGCGCGTTGCTGACATTCACTCTCGTAGGAATCTACAAGCTCCACGTGGAATTTTGGAACAGCATAAATGGCCACAGCCAGCTCTGCAGATGATAGCCTTGTTACCTCTGGAAGTACGTGTCAGCATGCATGCACGGTTGATGATCTAACACGCATCTGATGTAGATTGGACAAACCGCATAAACTAACCAATCACATTCTCGATGTACCCTGCTTGATCAAACTGACAGAAGTTCAACACTGCAGGTCCAATGCTCTCCCCAACGTGTATGCCAACAAAGTGGTAATCTTTGTCGCGGGTATCTGGAGCCCCTCCTGCAAGAAGAGATATACAAGGTAGCCCAGTATAGTGTGTGATCGCCTTGAGCAGGAGTGTTACAACATGCAACAAGCAGCTTCTGGCCCTGTTTAAGGTTAGTCTTACACGAAATTTTGATGGTAGTGGTACTCACTCTGCCTCCATCTCAGGAGTTGCTTTGTCCCTCTGCTTTTCAATATTTCCATGCTCCCATGCTTCTTTTGCCTTCTCATGCTTCAACTTGCACTCCTTCTCCAATGTCAACTGATCCATAGCTGAAAGCGCGCTAAACTGCTCTTGCACGATTTCATTGTGTAGTTTTATCCCATTCCCCCGGCTGCCGCCACCCCAATGCGCATACTCCTTCATTACCAAGTTGCGGTGCTTTGTGTGGTAGTACTGCCATGTCAGCAACATGCGAGGCTCAGGAGGTGCAACATGAAGCTCGCGCAAGACCGCCGTCCATGGGTTTGCTTCTATGTCGCCTGCCGTCTTGGATTTCCAGTGGAAGAAGTGTTTGATTCCCTTTGAAAGGTAAGCTATCTCCTCAATCATTGTCAATACAATGGACTTACCTCATTAATCGCGATGATGATATCTTTTTCTGCCATGTCCCTGCCTCCATCAACCAGCTCACGCACGTCGTCAACAGAGAGCAGCTCCCAGATCCCACCCGTGACCTTTTGCCAGAAGTCACCCAGCCGTTTGTTCTTGCCCTTTGATGTGCAGTCCATACGGTTGTATTTGGTCACGAAACTAAGAAGATATTCCAGCGTGTCGCCAATGGAACTTTCCCGGGTTCCCCGGCTTTTGTCCTTTTACTGCCTCCCGCTCCTTCCTCATCTTTGAGCGGCGCATGGGGAGAGCACCAGGAATTGCGCTGGCTGTCATTGTTGGCTGTTTGACATGCTCGCTTGTGTCTTCCGGCGGGTTCAGCGGTGTCGACGCATTGGTTGACATGGTGGGCGTGTCACAGGACAAGCTCGGCGCGGTGTACGGTGCTGTCAGTTCATCAGTGGGTCTAGGTGGCGCGTCGGCAATCACATTATTATGGTGAGCATCTGCCATTTGTTATGCAATTGCTGAAGGGATCGCTTGTGCAGCGGTGGTGTGCAGAGCAGGAATGAGCACGAGCCCAAATGCCCCCTTAAAAAAAGAAGCCATGCGAGCCGCGATCTGTTGCCTATGGAGTGGCGTACCCTCTGCAGCTTTAAGGTGAGATGATTTACTCTTCAGTTCCATCTAAATTCGCTGATAAACTATATTCTCATGGATATATAAGACCTTCCTTCCACCTCTTCCTCCAGCTCGCACTCTCCAGCAACCATGATCATCCCTCTTGACAAGATGCTTTGCACCTGTGAGGTTACCTGCCTCGTTCATCTCATCTCTATCACCTCCCAGGCAATTAGGTTCGCCGCCAGACCAGGGCTCAGACATGCTGCCGCTCTCGCCCCTTACTGAGGGCGAAGATGACTGCGAAGACGATAACGGCAAATAAAACTGCCCCGCGACTGAGGAGGACAACGGCGATGCCAACTCACTCAGCTCCGCCTTTGAGAGTGTCCGCGAGAAGTAAGCTGTAACGTTCATATTTGATTTTCACTTAACTTACTCATCGTGATAGCATGCAGTCCCAGCACGCGAAGGCAGTGTCGTCTCCGCTGGAGTACAATGTGCCCGTCTACTTCCGCACCACCCCTTGTCGTGCTTCCCCTCAGTGTGACCCTGCCGCTGCAGATCGCATGAGGAACACTGGTTACGTCAACAGGCTGGAATGGGCCGTCTATGACCCTTGCCCTGACATGATAGGTGGGCTCAAAGGCCACATGTACATTGTTTCTTGCAGATCCGAGGGAGACCAGTAAGTCGCTTGCGCAACTAGGGACGTGTACGAGAATTACATTATTCTCTGCTGCCACTTTACTAACGTTAAACCATGTGATTAGCGCTCTTGCCACTCTCCTGACCAATGGCGTCTCAGACCACAGCTGGTGTAGAATTGGCACCACCGAGAACATCGCGCACGAGTGGTTTGATGGCTGGTTTACTGGAACCATCAAAGGGAAAGTTCACCGGCTGTCCCTCTTCCCTCGTGTTGTCACTGAGGCAGAGCTCCACCACCGCGTGACCACCGCTCAAGACCTTCCTACCAAATTTCCTCTTCCGCTGTCTATCAAACCTGCCTTGTCATCTGCCTTTGCCCCGGATGCTGCGCCCGCTGCATCTAACAATCCTCCTGAGGCAGAACCTGCCGAGCCTGCCAACAGTCAGCCTCGTAAATGCTATTAGGTTGTGATCAGGGGCGCCCTTCGTGGCATCTATTTTGACCGGTGCATACTTTTTGTTCTATGAATACATGTGATACCAGATGGCTGACCAAGTGCAACAGCGAGTCCTACGAGATGAGACTTGGAGATGCACCTGGCCGCATCGGATCCTGCTTCTTCAATGTGGCAGACACCGAGGAGTTCTGGGCGGGCAACACCAAGTTAGGGTAGCAGTCTTCTATTTGCACCTATACTCTCTTCCCCCTGTCCATCATCTTGCCAATCGCCTGGGAGTTTTCTGTTGCGTGTCTAATGCTTGCTGCAAAGCCGGTATTTATATCCTGATAATATAGTTTGTATTGCCTTGTATGATGCTGCTCTCCTGTCACTGGCTGTACCTAGTTCAATAGCTGTCACTGAGCTGTGAAAGAATGATATAGTGCTCACTTGCCATACTGTGTGATCACTCGATCTGTTGGGCACATCATGCCACACCAACCACCACAGCAGTCGGCTCCATTAGCAACGGTCATGCAGCTACAATAGGTGCTCCTACGGCATCCTCGGCATGCGGGCCTTGTGCGCATCCATTTGCTCACTGTGTTTGGCCTCACCACCGTTGTCAACAACAGTGACAAAGTCATACCTGCACAATGCTCCTAATTTTTGCAAAGGCTTGAAACGCTACATTGGATAACCTTTGGTAGTAGTTACCATATGTCAGAGCTAGCCCTTCGCTCTGGAAAACGGCATTTTTAAATACATGCATTTGGCAAAGATGAAAGCTCCCAATTCTTACTCCCTGTAAAATATTTCTCAAGTGTGTACCTGCTAAGATGAGTGAACAGTTGCATGAGCAAAGGGCAAGCCTCACAGTAGTGCCCTGCCAAATAAGATATGTTGTTCCTTTTATGGCATGTTTTTGTAACTCACGATTGAAATTCATACACTTCTATGTTCGTGCTGTCCTCGAGCACAACAGCTTGTAAGCAAGAAATACATGTATATTACCATTTGTAAAATAACAGAAGCCACTGCTCCTCTGAGCAGAAGCGTACAGCCTAATCAGTGTCAGCGAACATAGTAATAATCTCCACAAACATGTGCACAATTTTACCTACACTCTATATCTAACATGAAGCTCTATATATATTCATATGCCCTTAGGCATAACGTAAAAACATATTGCAAGATAGCCAGAATTTTTACCTCCTTTGGTTGCTTTAAGCTAGCATGTTCACATCGGACTGCGTGCATTGTACAGGCACACTTACAAATTCAGGCTGCACTGAATGCACTTCAGCTGTTCACAGCACACACAACAAACTTATAGCAGTGATGTTGGTGGGATGGCTGGATTGCATTTTTTATGCCTTAGACAACCGAATCCCACTTGTTTGCATCACTACCTGGCCTGGTCTTGCCAAAAAAAAACCCACAAAGCACTGTAAGCATGTAAAGAGGTAAGATTGGCAGTCTCAGATGAAGGTGAACGGCTGCGACAAGTAAAGCACAACTACTGCAGCCTAAACGCGACACTTTATAACCTGAGTAGACATGCTGTCGAAATCTAGTGTTGCCCTCTGTGCACGGAACAAAACATTTGTAGACGACCTTACCACATCCAAATTAGGTGAACATCACCTTAACTCAACTCGCTCCACTGTCACCCCGGTTGCGCATAAACCTCTACTTTACTGTGGCCTACGCAGCTCCTTCCCAATGTCTCTACGCACATGACAGCAACAACAACAGCAATGACTCTTGATGTAGCAAGTGCGGCCTGCTGGTCACTCTGACACAGGACATACCAGCTGCGGCTATGCCAGGTGAGATGACCCTATCACTCCAAGATGTGCTAAGCAGCATAACTAATCCTCTAACCATTCATACAGCAACATAGAGCTTGGAATATTCAAGTTGCAGGCTCTGATTGTGCCCTGATAAATGACATCTCCCTTCGCTCCCTTATGGGTTTTAGGGTTTAGGGTTTAGGGTTTAGGGTTTAGGGTTTAGGGTTTAGGGTTTAGGGTTTAGGGTTTAGGGTTTAGGGTTTAGGGTTTAGGGTTTAGGGTTTAGGGTTTAGGGTTTAGGGTTTAGGGTTTAGGGTTTAGGGTTTAGGGTTTAGGGTTTAGGGTTTAGGGTTTAGGGTT